AAGAAAATGTTGATCCAAATCAACCAAGGAATCACTCCTTTCAAGGACTTACACCACTATTTTGGGACACCCTGTATAAAATGATTACAGTTGTAAAATTGTCAAAGATGTTATTTTTTAACATAGGTTTGAAAACACTGGGTGTCACCCCCACGATGGTGTTACCCGGTACGAGATGAACGGTGAAAGAAATATATTGTAGGAATTTTATGATATATTTAACGCATTCGGTACGGATGGGAATGATAATTCCCAACATGGGCGAATCTCGCGGCCGCCTTGGGAACTGTAGTGCATAGGCCCATTCAATAAAATGCTTGCCTTTGGACTGTGTTAACTTTAGGCTGTGTTAACTACAGACGACTCCTCTCAGACATCAATAATCCGACAATGACTACTTCGCAATACTTTTAATACGAAACTGAACATTATTTGAAAATAGTATGCCATTTACTGTTAACTGAAGGTACTCAAACTCTTGGTCACCAGAAATTCTTCGCCAAGTTGCATAATAAAATGAGATTCGTGTCTGAGATATGTCTCCAATTAAGGGTTGAAGCTGACAGTTGATTGGTATATATAGTTAACAGTAATTTAGTGCAACTTTATGGTTACAGGTATTCCTGAAGGGAATTGCGAATAATTTCGTGTACCCGAAAATGCCTGAATATTAATTCTCAAGCAATTACTTAACCGTAATGTATTTGATACTCGTGTTCACCGTTTCTTGTACGTGCACGAACTTCGTTGCACACATCGCTTGATACGTTTTGCTGGAACACACGTCTTACCTAATTGGCCCTTACGAGATTAAGTTATCTCGAGAGCAGTAAGTACCCCATGATAAGAGATCAAGCAGCATCTACTCGGTAATCTGAACTCCAACAAGTCGTTACTTTCAGTTCTTAGGATTGCGTTTTGTTGGCTCGGCGAGAAGCTTTCCAGTGAAGAATGATCACGATCTCTAATTATCGCGATTTAAATGCTGGGCTTGAGGGTTCTTACTGCATGATGTCGGTTTCATTCATCCTATATATTCTACACCAGTCGCAATCAGAGTCTCCCATAAACATAATACTGTTTCTATTTCACAGAAATTTTATTAAATTACTTTAGGTTGAATTTCAATATTACTCAAGTTTAATATAGGATAGAGGAGGTAGATTTGGGTTAGTATTTCCATTCTTGTTACACATACTTTATTCGCACGTCAATCGTTCGTTGTTGCAGTAGTAGGAGTACTCATAATTTCAGCGAGAAGTTTGTACAGTACGAATTTAGTCTTTTGCAAGTATAAGTGTATTTTCATGGTAAGTTTAGTACAAAGAGCTAACAGAAATAAATCGCTGCTATAAATTCATATAAGATATCTCGTGCTGGTACAAATTTTAATGGACGACCTGATGTCTCGGCTACAATTATGCATTCAAAATTGTAACCTAAAACACGTGGTTCGAGTAACAGAGGTGCATTACTATGAACGTTCGGATGCGGGAGATATGAGTCAGAAGTATGTGGGATATTTGGGTCGATCCAAACACCCCTATTTTCTTTTTAATGAAATGCTTTCGCTGCTATTTTTTATATTAAAACTTTAATTAACAATTTTCAATATCTTTGTATGCTATGTTGTATGTTATGTTTATTATGTTATTCCTTCAGAGTCTTTATACCATTTATTCATTTCATTACATTCATATACATATATTATCACTTTATTGGTAATAAATATATAAATACATTAAACTTTCCTACATTCACTACAAAAACAATACAAAAGTTCAATGAACCATTTCTTCCCATTTTTATGGGCCAAATAACTAGTTTTACTACTATTATATTTTTAAAGATTCCTGTGGAATAATAAACTGAAATGATGATGAAACATCGATGGTAAAACCTTACTGATTATAATTCTTCAGATTTAAAAAGTGTCTTTTTACTACTATTATATTTTTAAAGATTCCTGTGGAATAATAAACTGAAATGATGATGAAACATTGATGGTAAAACCTTACTGATTATAATTCAGATTTAAAAAGTGTTTCTCTTCTATTTTAATCACTATGACAAATTTATTGAACACTGCCACAAACCTACCCACTCTCCCCTACTATATGTCATTTATTTCTCTGATCTCTAGAACATTAATTTAACGATATATTTATAGTAATTACAAAAGTTAAACCAAGGAAAGACATATGGAGAACTGAAGATAATGCTTTTTGAATTAAACTAGAATAATCAACACAATACATAAGCCGATTTCCCATGATCTTCGATCCACTGTAATCGGCTTCCCTTTCACCCCGGCGGATTACCATCGAACATGGAGGCTCGAGATACCTAATTTATTTATCGATAGAAGCGGAGATGTTCTCTGTAAGGAGAGATAAGCATCGAATCTGCGAAACCATTAATCATTCGAGGCCCCATTCTTTTTATTTTACCTCAGCTTTCTAAGCGGCGGTGAGAATTGAATACTTTTTCAACCATGAAAATTCACACGCTATCTCATGTAACGTATCTTCGCCCCCACGTCCGTTCTGACTGACACGAATTTGACAAATTGTTAAATACGGGAAATATACTCGTGCACGCGGTCGACACCAATTTTTTCCGCATTTTTCAGCGAACCCGGATTTACGTCCGGTTGCACAGTTACCCGAGTCTCGTCCAGAAAATGCAGGCTTAATAGAATTTATTCAAAAATAGATTTCTTATTTTGTTCCTGTGATTCCTAAATATATTACTTATTTTATTCTTATGATTCCAAAATATATTACTTATTTTCTTCAGGTAATTCCAAAATACAGTACAGGATGAATTTGTAACAATTTGACCATAATCATTCTTCGAAAATTTTTTCAACATTTTCTGCATTAATTAACGAAAGGTATGGGTTTTTATTAAGATTATTAATATATGAGAAAAAAAATTAATATATGATATAGTTTTGTCTATTAGCGTAGATAAGGAAACATAACAACCGGCACAGTGTAATACATTTCCATTCAGTATTTGTGTGTGAAATTATTCGTTGAAGAGCAGAAATCTATATTATTGTTCTGCAAAGAACAGAAAGAAATATGTAAAATCGATAGACATTAATTATACATAAGCATGAGTACAACCACTACATTCGTGAAACGGAGTTCATTTCGTACCTGCTATCGGAAAACACGGAGTGAATTAAACGGTGACATTTTTCTCGAAAGAGTAAACTCTTAAACAACGCGCTCTTATATAAAAAGCTTAACGTGTTCATCGAATTGGATCCATTTATATACAGAGTAACGATGAAGGCAGAGTTTTTTTTCGTAGAAATAAATGTAAACCTCTACGGCCTGCTGTGCGTGGATTTATACTCTGAGTAATCCGTTTCGAAAACACGCAGAAAAGACTTTTATATTTTTCGATGGTCTATAAAGTTGCAGATTATTATTGTTCGATAGAATGGAACATCGAAATCTCTGCCTGCGTTGTGAAAAATTGTTATTTATTTCTGCTTCATCGCAACTATAATATTAAATTACAATGTTAACTTTTTTTTTAAATTTTGGTTTTGATCGTTACACCAAGTATTAATAAAAATGTGGGACACTTTTACAGGTTGGATTATGTAAGCCAAACTAAGACAAAAATCAAGAATGACGAAATTGACGGCTGCACTTGCACACTGCACAATGGATTTCACTAAAGTTCTAAAAGAAAAACAAAAAGATTATATCCGAAATTTCTCTACCAGCCACACTGGTAATTGGACCACAAAGGGTTAATAACTCGAAAACGAAGCCTCGAACGCAATTTCGTCATTCCTCATTTTCATCTTAGTTTGGTATCTAGAATCCACCCACTGAAAGTGTCCCATATTTTTATTAACACCCTGTAAAATTGGTGCATAGATACTACTCAAAACAATTCCGACAGCAGATCTCCAGAAATCTATCCATACCTCTTAATTGACTATCCCCAGCGTGATATTAATGTCAAGGAAACATTCTTATAAACATAAAACGAACGATTTTACAGAACACAATCACTGATCGAATCGATATCTTGTCGATCCTGTTACTTTTCAGACGTACGTACTCCATAGCCGACAAGAATGTTGAAACATCCCGCGCAATAAGTAATTTCGTCCCCCCCCCCCACCTGGTAATCGTATCCAGCGACCCTGAAGCTCTATCAAACGTGAAAAAACTGTCGGAACGCGGAGGCGCGAGTATCGGCGAAGTCGTTAGTATTTTTCCTCGTTGGGAAGTTTTAAGTAAATCTTAGCCGATTCACTTGCGATTCAGAACCGGGCGTCGGCTGCTCAACCGAATAACTTACTTTCGACGCGATCGCGCAGTTCTTGGAACGATAATGATCCATTAAGAAACTCGGAACTCGAGGCATTCCCAGTGAATACACTCCGCGGGTTATGCTGGAACGGCCCACTTTCTCGCAACTCGCGGGAGGGGAACGAAAAGGGGCGGGGGGAAGGGGGTTTGCGAAAGAGAGAGACAGAAAGAGAGAGAAGAAAAAAGAAAACGTTAATCGAGAGAACACGGCACCGGAAACGGGTGAAGTCTTTCGACTTTTCATCGAACTGGAAGGAGTCGTCTTTGTGCTTAACGGAGGGTGCCAGCATGCGGTAGCGAAGGACGATGGAAAAGGGATGAAGTAGGGCGAGCGAGAGAACGAAGGGTTCGCTTCCTGATTCCAGATGAACGGATTTCGTTAAAAGCAGATTTACATTTCCTCGGCTCCGCGCTCTCTCTCTCTCTCTCTCTCTCTCTCTCTCTCTCTCTCTCTCACTCTTCGTTTCGCCCTTTTTCTTCGTTTTTCGCGTAAACGTTCTCCTCCAACTATTCGTGCACTCAGCTCTCGCGCGACTGAATTCTCGTTCCTCCATCCCACTGCCTCGTCCCCTTCTCCCATCTTAGCATCCCCTTTCCTGCACCCCCGTTTCATCTGCAAAGATTCACGATGAATTCACGGTTGATTTCCCGTAGGTGGATTCCTATACAAAACATCAGCCGCAGCAGTATCCGCCGCCGAAGTGGGATCACAACGACGCCGCGACCCACGGCGATCAGCAGGAGAATCTTCAATGGATCGAGATCAGGGTGAACCTTCAACCGTTCTATTACTCGAACGGCCAGCTGAATCTGCGATGCAGCGCCCAGATTCCCGGCATATATTCGGCGATAAGCGAGGTGCAGCTTGGAGCCGGTCTGCGTGAACCCGTGCCAGAGCGAGGTAACTGGAATTTTATGCTGAATTTTCGAATATAGGATTGTCAACAAATATGTCACAAATATGTGTTTAGGGGTGTGTAACGACGTGACGCCGTTAGACGAATCCATAAAAAAAAGTTATCACAGTAAGTCCTCGATGAATGCGATACGAACAATGGCGTTATTCCCATCACTGAGAATCAATCAAAACAGAGTAAGCAGAAGCTAAGCAAAAATAAATTTTTTTAAGGAGCTAAAAACCTTTCCTCCTTGCTGCGAATGCTCTGAAGCGGGCTCGAGTTCGTCGCACTCATCGAGACATTACTGTACTAGTCTTTGATTCCTTTGACCGTTAGCTACAGATAACTCGACTCTGAGACGAATTTTTCCTTTTTATCGATATACCTTAAACTTTTACATCCTTGGGCCTTAATAGAAAAAGAATCGAAAAATATAAGATTTAGTATACGGTATTCGGTTACTTAACTAGCTGTGCTCATCGCATATTGTAGATATATTGCACCTTTCAGTATCTTTATATCCTATTTGCTTATTACTTTTATTCTATACCCTCATATTACCTTTATTAGATATACAGGGTGAGTCAATAAGAAATACTATGTTAAATAACTCGTTTCCTATTGATTGTATAAAAAAACGTTTTAATGAATTATAAAAACATTTTAAGGGACGCAACAGATGGATACAATTTGACTTCTTTATATCTTACTTTGTTTTTATATCAAGGTAAACTTGAGTTTTTTCAAGGTCAATGCATCCTTTTTTTAATACAACGATGTTGCCAATGGAAGGACAAATTGAACGACCTATAACATGATGGTATTAAAAAAAAGCATTGACCTTGAAAAAATTTAAGATCACCTTGATATCACAAAAAATAAGATATAAAAAAATCGAATTAAGGAAAACACTTTTCCAGCAGACGGAATATTAAAAGTTTCCCAGACATGAAACCAAAACTGTAATCCATTAATTCCCATAAATCGCAATTTCCGCCTGTTTAAGTTTCCCAACAGTTATCGGCGAGTGGCGGGGCGCGTATTTGCCACATCGGGAATAAAATTCTGTCCCGCATAAATTCGCAAAAATCATTCTCTTCCTACCCCCCCCCCCTCCACCAATGTGTTTCGTTTCGACACGGTGGTCGGCGCACCTGCCCCATCGACGGGCTCGCTTGCGGCCAGTTGGTGTACGCTGCGGGTAATAGTTGCACGCTCGGGCTACCTGGTCTCGGGGATTAGCCGGTCGGTCGCACAGGCTAATAAATTTCGTGAGTTAGGGTCCCACCCACTCGAATTCGGAAAGGAAGCCTCCGGTGCACGCTGCGCCCGCTTCCTGCACGCGACGTCGACGAGATTTAATTGACCGGCCACGGGTAGAGGCCCCCTCAGACCCTATTACCTTTTCCCACCCCATTGGCCACCCTCCTTCTACACCGTTCCACCACCACCGCCATTCTTTCCGACCACCCTACTACGAGATATCGTTCAACCCCTCGTGCACCATACATATCCCGGCCGGAATTCCTGTCGCGACCCTGCTTGACATCTTATATGACGACGCACGACCGCTTCGCGTGACAGTCTGCCGGCACGGAGGTTAGCCTTCGGGATGCGGGTTAGCAGGCGCCGTTGTAATTAATAACATCGGAATAATGAATATCCAGTGTGGAGGGGAAATTAACAGATTTTATGAAGAATTTCGGGATCGTCGAGCATTCAACGGCCCGAGGCGTCTGCACACCGTGTGCGTTGGATGGGATTAGTTCGGGAGCGAATGGGAAGAAGAGGTGAACTAATTTTACCGGTGAATCGTACGCGTTAATACGGATTTCGCTGTATTCGAGGTCGAAAATCTCTGAACGCGACGATGCGACCAGTGAGTTGGAAGTTGAAGTGTGTTAATCCCTCGAACGTTATGGTTTCACAGTGAATGTGCATGTAGTTCATTGCGGTACGAATTTTTTATCGTATGGTGTGGACGAAAGTTATTTGGAAGCATTTTTGACGTGGGGTGTTTCGAGTGTGTCAACCTGGCTTTTGAGGTAATTCTAATGATATTCTTTTCTGTTCATCTGTTTTATGAATTGTTAATATTAATCTTCGGTAAATATTTACGGTAAAGATGCCACTTCTGATTTCGATGATTTTTCCATATGTTGTCAAGGTCATCACCCTGAGTAGTGTTTTTAAAGGTTTTAGTTGGGGGTCGTCTTTTGTGAAAACGTTCTTATCAAAGTACTGTCTCGAACGAACTCTGATCAGGATAATGCTTTGGAGTTGGTTAGAAACAGTTGAATAAAAAAAGTGATTTCGAGTTGGTTAGTGACAGTTCAAGAAAAAAAAAGTGATTCTTTCTGAAGGTCACTTAGGAGGATAACCTTGACAACATGTGTCAAGGTCAAGGTCATCGATCATTTTACTTATCAATAGTACTAAGCATACTTTTTTTAATAACTTTCTTGCAAATGATGACCATTAACTAAAACCTTCACAATACTACTCAGAGTAATGACCTGGACAACTGGGTAAATATTAACTTTGGTAAATATTTGCTCAATCTTCTTGTTGTCTTCTGCATCGTTTCATGTTGCGAACAGTTGAAACAATTTTCGGAATGGAATCATTAGTTCTTTTCACTGTCAGTTCTAGAACCTTTACATTCTTCACCCTTCGCTACTTTGTATCTCTTAAATCTGTAATCTGTTTTCACCTTTATGTTTAATACTTCTTTTCTGTCAGGTACTGTATAAAGGGACTATACATGTCAGGGTTCCCATTTCTGAACAGTATTACCTTGTTCCTTCTGCACGGAGCTTATGGTATTTTGATGTTTTACGATAATTAATTAACCCTTAACTAGAGAAAAATCGTGTCTCAGAGACGAATCTGAATGTTTATGTCAATATCGTAATCTAGCAGAGAATTTTGGAAACTCTAGACGTTTGAGCACCTTCAATTGACAGTAAAAGGCATACTACCGTAAATCCTCGATGAATGTTCGAAGGCTCCTCAGCTCTGAACAATGAATATTTCATAAATTAATAGCCATATGCGACTGAAACAAATATTGCCTTCAGAATTTCGAACTCTATCACTGTGCTAAATCTCATTAAAAAGTCAACGTTACACTTAGGGAACTCTCATTGTCAATGTCGAGGAGCCTTCGAACACTCATCGAGGTTTTACTGTATTTCCAAAGAACGTGCAGTTTGTCACTAAAAGTGTTGCAAAGTAGTCCTTGTCAGATGTCTAAGATGAGACGTCTGTAACTAAGGGTTAACTAATACTTCCAATAAAGTGCACTTATAGTTAATGAAGAAAGCAACATCACTGTATCATGTAGTCTGATTAGTATAACCACTCCCGTGTCACTTCAGTGATCATTCAGCTTCACAAGATTTATGTGGGGGTAGTATATCATTTCGTTAATCAAAGGTAATGAATTACATCGCATCGCTGGGTAATCACAGCGCAGCAAACTACAAATAGGAACGATGAAGTTTCATCAAGTTTTTATCGAAGAGCCGCATCGCGTGATTAAATTGAATTCTAACGCGTGAAAGTGGAATATGATGGATGGCGTCCAACGGACAGCTCCGACCCCTCGTTTTAAAACACGAAGAATTCACTATCCTTTTAGGAAAGAATAATTCCACACTTCTAATAAATCCATACTTGTTTAATTAAATACGGTGTTTTTATGCGTTAATTTAACTGTGAGTTAGTCTCACTTGAAAGTAATGTGAGATTCAGGTTTCTATGTTTGAGTTATAACATCTAAATGTACGAGGTAATTAATATGCATGGTCAATAAAGTTTTCGTTCACCTTGTTGATTTGTTACTGCATAGAGAATTAATTACTTCGTGAACGTTTTCAAATTGTCGACTATTGTTCTGCCTACGCAGCTTTTAGTCCATTGACTGGTATACAATCGTGTTGTTTCGGGATAGACAATCAGCTATGCAGCGGTAAACCAGAGTTATTTGGGATGGGCAATCAACTATGCAGTGGTAAACCGAGATATCTCACGTGATACGAAGGGAAAGTACGTATGTAGGTCAATAGTAGCAGGATACCACGTTATTGTGTCTGGTGTAATACTGAAAATCTGGAACTGCTTGTACACGAACATCGACACAATTTTCATCCGGGTATCAGTCCGTGGAAAATGACAAAATTCAACAGAGTTTCAGTGACAGAGTTAAAATACAAAAAAATGATATTAATCGTGAAGACAATAGCGAGAAAGATTTTCATTTTTCATTTTATTATACAGATTTGTATAGGTATTCGAACTTAAAACTTTATACTTGTTATATTGATCATTGATCAGAAACCGGGTTCAATAATCTGAAATATTAAATACTATGAAAATGTATATTAGAGAAATTTTGAAGTTCAAAACGCTCGCATTATTTCCCTATACACCAATTTTCAGAACGCTATCTTTTGGGTTTATATGTTTGGGCTTGACAGATTGTTCATCTCTTCCACTACGTTACATCAAAATACTCCCTCTCATCTACCAGACGAAATAGAAATCAGAAAATCAACAAAAATGTTCCCCTTGTGGTCTTCGTATTATCAGATATACTAATAAGTACCTAGTCCACTATTTCATCGAAAGAAACTAATTAAATATCTTAAACTAAAACACATCTTCCTGTTCTTTAGCATAAGCATTTAAGTTCCCAAAAAATAAATACTGAATCTCACAAGGACTAGTGGATCATTTATTGATACACCTAATATTATAAATTATAATCGTCCTTTCTCCCCATTTTACCCACACCTTCTAACACCTGCCTGAAAAATCAAACGTACACACAGAAATAAGTACAGCGGCGAACAACAGTGGAATTTTCTCTTCATGTCCTGCATCTTCTTTTCCGATAGAATCGAGGGGGATCCGTAAGATTCGGTCTCGTTGAGAAACTTGCCCCGTCGAAAATGTCGACCGTAGTACTGTTCTCGACGCCGTTTCGAAACTTCGACTA